AGTGCTGCATCAATTGTTAAAAAAATTTCAATTGGTATTCCATCAGTTCCTGGTACCTTGTTCTTTGCCCATACCTTCAATGCACCTTGAACTTCTTCCTTCGGTATCATTGGCTGTAGCTATCTATTTTGCAAGAATACTCCACAGCACTTAACAGCAACAACAAACATTTATTTTGAGAATGAGGGAGAAGGGAAAATTCTTTAAAAGCAGTCTCCAGTCATGACATATGCATATCAAGGAGTGTTTAAGATGATCTGTTAAACTATGAGGGGAAAAATGGTAAAACTAGTAAAAATATTTTGCACTTAGAACTTTCAGTGATTTACCTGGAAATGATGGGTTCATAGGAGGGTTTCTTTGTTTTACTAACAGGTAGCATCTTACTTTACAATTGTTGTTGTTGGTATTAAGTGTCATGGAGTCAGTGTTAGCACATAGTGACCTGACCCTGTATAGCATATTCAAGGCTCTAAATCATCAAAGGAGCAGAAAGCTCCTTAGAGCAACTGGTGTGCTTAAACTGTCGACCTTGTGATTCACAGGCTAATAGTAACATATGGAGCTACCGCACTCCTACTTTTAAAGAAATAAGTGAAGTAAGAGAGCCGTGTCCTTTCAATGACGAATGCTTTCATAATGAAAATGCCATTTCCTTGAATCCCCAATCTTAGACCACTCGGTTCTGTCAATGTATAGTGCTTGCTGTTTTTCATAGTAGTGTTTTTCATTTCTTCTGTAGAATCTGAATTTTACAGGGTTTCGAAAAATTCTTAAAAAGCATGACAAGATACTGGAAACATCTCGTGGGGCAGATTGGCGAGTGGCTCATGTAGAAGTGGCCCCATTTTATACATGCAAGAAAATCAACCAGCTCATCTCTGAAACTGAGGTATAATAATAATACCACTGATATACCACATATTTTCAGTAACAACTATGTTTAATTTTAAATAAATCCTTGTTTAAACATTCTTTGTTAATGCTACCTTTGAATACATAGTCTATTTTTCTTCAGTTGTGAATTGGTTGAAGATTCATAAAGCATATCCATTTTCCATTCAACAAACAGTTCATACATACTTTGTTTCATGTCATTGATTGCAGTCCCCACTTCCTGTATTTCCTATTTCAATTCCTCCTAATCCTTCTGAACGTTGGTATTGGGTAAATGCTGCTCTTTAAATGTTTGATTATTCTAAGGATCATGCACTTCCTAGTATCTTTTGTTTTGCTGAAAACTGAGCCATGGAGTGAGTTCAGTTCCAGGCCCAAAGGATGACTAAGAGCCATAGTCTCTAGGGTTCCACCAGTCTTCTAATATGGTCATTTTTATGTGTTTGTGTTGTGTTCCATAGTTATCTCCCATTCTATCCAAAACCTTCTAGTATCCCTTTCAGAGCAGTAGAAAGTGACAGCCGGGAACCATTTACTTCTGAATATGTATATGATGGGCCTTCAAAAGTTCATGGAAAAATTCTATTACCTTTTGATTCTATTTTTCCATAAGCTTTTTGAAGGCCCCTCATATCGTCTTAATTAATGATTTTTTTTACTATCCTTTATCAGTAAACATTCACCAAGAGATTACAGAATACCAATACCATATATAGAAATGGTACAGAATTATTTACGCATCAGTCAAGTTTAGCATATATGTGTCAAAATTTAATAACTTGTCTTTCTAGGCTGTAGTGACCAATGAACTTGAAGATGGTGACAGACAAAAGGCTATGAAACGATTACGTGTCCCCCCTTTGGGAGCTGCTCAGGTTAGTATTTGCTTCCAGTTATTTGCTTGTTTGGTTGGTTAGTTGGTTTTACATATTTAATAATCAGTATCATCTGTTCGGAGTCCTGGTGTGGCACTGTGGGATAATGCTCTGGACTTCAAGTTTGTTTTGATCTACAATGTCAAATTTACCAGCTCTTCCTCGGAAATCATATGCTGGATAGCTATGAATTGGAACTGAGTTGACACAGTTAACAACAACAACATCATAGCCTGTTTATTTGATAAAATACTGGTTTCCTTACTTAAAAATTTCTTCAGCCAAATTTTGTAAGTAGTTTTAAAAAATATTATCTTTGTTTTTAAAAACTAGGTACCAGCAGAGTAGACAGGGATGGGCAACTTGGACATTGGCTACCCAAAATGGGGTGAGGGGGGCGGTTCAAATGCAAGAAGTGACTGGTTACAAGCTTTCAAGAGGGAACCTAGACTCAGAGGGCATGGAGGAAGGTAGAATCTCCACTAAATTGTATCAAATCTATCTAAGAGGAGCTGATGAAAGTAAATACGGATGGGTCTCTTGTGATACAATAGTGAATAATTGTTAGCAGGACTGATTTTGAGGGTTGGAAATGTAAAGGTAGACATTTTGTAGCAAGGAGGGGAGTGATTAACTTTTCAGCCTAGGAGTGGAGGTCCCTGGGACCATCAAGGGAGAAGAGCAGAGACCGGGACCCTACCCAGAGAAGCAGTGATGCCTTTGATGGTGGAGAGATGGACCAGTTGGGGACGTTAGACACAGAAAGGGGGAGGGGCTGTGTGCTGACAACTCAGGGGGCAGGCTTGTAATATATACCCTTTGGTTGGTTGATGATGCATGGGGGGGATTGTAACCATAGCAATGAAATGATATACGATAGGATGAATGTAAACTATCACATAATTCACAATAAAACATTAAAAACAAAACAAAGTAGGTACCAGTACGAATCCACCAGCTGCTCTGTGAGAGAAAGATAAGGTTTTCTGCTCCTGCGAAGATTTGTTGTCGTTGTTAAGTGCCATTGAGTCGATTCCGACTCATAGCAACCACCATGGAGTTTCCAAGAAGCAACTGTTGGGTTTGAACTATTGACCTTGAGGTTCAAACCAACCCTACAGTCCAGTGCTTTATCCTACAGTGCCTGGGAAACCCTATACAGGGTTGCTGTGAGTTGAAACTGACTTGATGACAGTTAACAACAGCAACAGTCTTTATGGGAGAGTCATGGTATGCTGCTAGGATAAGCAGGAATGCTCACCACAAGGTCAGTGTTTCAAACCCGTCACCGCTCCTCGGAAACACTATACAGGGTCGCCATGAGTTGGAACTGACTCAATGACACTTAACAACAATCCTTTTGGCAGCAAAATGCCAGGTCTTCTCTCACATAGCTGCTGGGTGAATTCAAACCACCAACCTTTTGGCTCACTGCTGAGTTGTGCCAGCAGGGCTATTTTCATAGGTTTTACATATGCCAAAACTTACCAACTGTAGACTTGAAATCAAGGCAGTTTAATGTCAGCTATATTTCAGCAACACTGTTAAAGGGAGAAAGATTAGACTTTCTACTTCCTAGAATATTTAAAGCCTCAGAAACCCTATACAGGGCCACTATGAGTAGGAATTGACTCGATAGCACTTAACAACACCACCAAAGCTATTAAAATGAGAAAAATGATTTTAAGATATGTAGGAACGCATGTAAAGCTAGAGAAAACATGGAAATGGTTATCTCTGATGAAGAGGAAAGGTTATTGTTCTCAGGTTGAGAGGTAAGACCTTGAAGGTAATGGTAAATTCTGTTTCCAAAGATGGCTGCTAGGTATAGGATCTTCACTTTATTATTCATTTTCTGACTGTCCAAATACATTATAGACATTATTTTGTGTATGTAATAGTTTGTACAAGTTTTAAAAGTAAAGATTTTGTTTTTTTAAATGATCATGTTCATTCAGCTTCCAGTCTACAACTGTAAATACAGATGTTTGTTACTGATTTAAGTTAGAGGCTTTTTCAAGGTTTCTGAAAACATTTTAAATGTGTTCAGCATAATACCAACTCTAACAAGAATAACAAATTTTATGACATTCATAGCAAATATTTGAATTCACAAGAGTATTTCTCTCAGTGTTTCTCACTCCTTTTAAAGTATCAGTTACTTTATATTTATTTTAGAGAATAATAGGTTTATCTCTTTCTGAAGTGTGACACCATAGGATCAGCGCTGAACTGCTAACCACAAGGTTGGCTGTTCAAACCCACCAACTGCTCCTTGAAAACCCTATACAGGATCGCTATGAGCAGAAATTATTCAGGCATGTAACAACAACAAAACATAAAATTAAGTAAAACAGGAATTTTTAATCCACGCACCTCACTTGAATAGTCCTGAGAATCTCTAGTGTATCTTGAAAAGTTCAATTTAAATTGCTGTGATAAAATAGTTATAATTTCAAAACCTGGGTATTCTTATTTTTACCATTGTCTCTAATTATTCACAGCATCGTTTGTTGTTGTTATTACGTGTTATCAATTCAATTCCAACTCAAAGCGACCCTGTTTAGGTTTCTGAGAAGCAACTGGTGGGTTTGAACTGCCGACCTTGTGATTTGCAATCTAATGTTGATCCTACAGTGCCACACCAGGAGTTCATAGTACCAGCTTTGTTGTTTTTGTTGTTAAGTGCCATTGAGTTGGTTCTGACCCATAGCAACCCTGTATAGGGTTTCTGAAGAGCAGCTGGTAGATTTGAACCACCGACCTTATAGTTTGCAGTCCACTGCTGATCCTACACTGCCACACCAGGAATCCATAGTCCCAAATAAGTAACTCTAATTGTGTTATGGACTCCTGGTGTAGCGCTGTAGACTCAGCACTGGACTGTTAACCACAAGGTCGACAAGTCAAACACACAAGCTGCTCCTTGGAAACACTGTGTAGGGTGGCTGTGAGTTGGAACCAACTTGACGGCACTTAATAACAGCAACAATTGTGTTATATTTATTATAAAATTTATGGATGTATATAAATGCATAAAAATAAATTTGCATCCTAAAAAGTAAAACTGAATTTTTAGACTCTCCATTAAGAAAAACTATGTATATATAGATATATGTATATGTGTGTGTATATATAGATAGATAGATAGATATAGTTGTTGCCTAAGATTATAATCTGTTTATATGTGACTTATTTTATTAACTTATTATAAGGAGTCCTGGTGTGGCTCTGTGGGCTAATGCATCAGACTGCAAAGTCGTTTGAACTGCAAGGTCAGTGGTTCAAACTGACCAACTGCTCCCTGGAAACCCTATACAGGTTCGCTATGGATTGGAATTGACTTGACAACACTTAACCACAACAACAATGAATTATTTATATGTTATTGGTATATAGACTTCTGTAAAGTAATTTTAAGGTGCTCTGGTAGCATAGTGGTTAAAAATCAGGCTGTGAACCTCAAGGTCAGCTGTTCAAAACTGCCAGCTGCTCCACGGGAGACAGATGAGATTTTCTGCTCCGGTAAAGATTTACC